GATGTAAGCATCTCTCCTGCGCCCCACTCGATGGTGGGGAGAAGGGATGCGGGACTCGTCTCATCGTGCCTCTTCTAGGCGACACTGGCCTGCCTTTAGAACTGCGACTGGAGCAGCTCTTCGCTGTGCTGACCTTTTGCTGTGTCCCATCCAGCAGAGGCAGGACCATGGATCCCGCTGCCAAATGGCCTCCATCCCACAGCACAAGTGACATGCTGGCTCTTCCCCCACTGTCTTCACACTTTCTCATTCAAGAGATCGTCTAAATATCCCCTGAAGTTCGTCCTAAGAGCTTGTCCAACGTAATTACTGTATTGATCTCAAATAGAAGGCACATCTGTTCCACCCTCATTCTCCTCCCCCCGCCCCAACAAGCTTGCAGGGAGCGGTGGGGGGAAAAAAGCTCTGCTTTCAAGGACTTGGCTGAGCCTGCCTCCACCATTGCCTTTGAAGTGAAATTGTTCTTGGTCAGGGAGAGGGCCAGCCGCCTAGCAGCGACTCGATTGGCAGCCTGAATGTCAGGTCTGCACTAGCGTTGCCAGGCCAGGCAGGCCCTGGGCCTGAGGAAGTAGCCAGGAAGTGGGGAACAGGCCCCAGAAAAGCCAGCAGGGTTAGGCTTGGGTAGACTTGAGCTACCTGCACATTGGCCTCTGCATTCTTGTATCTCGGCCACCTCGCACTCCCCTCCCCCTTTTCTGGTGTAACTGAGGGGGCGCTCAGCCACTGCCACCGCTTTATGATGGGCGAGTGCGTTCCCCTTTGGGCCCCAGTGTTCACTCTAAAAGGAAGTTGGGTGCGTAGCAGTTGTCAAACATGTACTAGGTAGGAGACAGTAGGACTGCGTCTCGGCTCCACACCCACACCCACACCCACCCATTCCCCCGAGGAAGCACTCAAGGCATCAGCCTTTGGAAAGTCGCCCGGCTGAACTGCCTGCAAGGACTTTGATCCGCTTCTGTGAGTCGTCTGCTTGGTTTGCAGCTTCCGCTCTTCCCATCTGTATCAGGTCACTGATTCTCTGCATGAAGAGGGTCCCAGCCATGCTAGGCTGTTGAGAATTCGAGTTTATTCTTTATTTTTGTCTTAGTGGGAGCCAGAGCTCGGGCTGGGCTGGATCTTATGTCTACCTAAAACTGCGCAGATCCCAGAATATAAATCACCCTTATTAGTGCTAGCGTGTTCCCACTCCCCGAGGCAGCGGATCTGGCCGGTGTTTCCCTGCGGTGCCCCGTGCTAGGTTCCCCTAAGGAAAATGAACACTAGCAGCCCCTCTTCTGTGGCAGCAGAGCCCCGGGGAGAGCACTATTACTTTGCTGTGACCAAGGCTGCTCCCCCAAATGGGCTTTGTTGCCCTCAAAATGGAGACTCCCTAGCTGTGTTCCCATTTGTAGCCCAAAAGACCTCTCACTCCAGATTGTAGCCCCCAGGGTTGCATCCTCTGCTGTCTCCAGCAACAGCAGGGCAGCCTCCAAACCAGACAGGGCTCTAGTCCCTCCTTGCCAAACAGTCCCTGGTGCCAACTCCTACTCCTCACCCCTGTCTTGTTCTCACCAGGGGTGGAGCTCTCCTCCCCTGCCACCCACCTTGATCTCTTCACCAGCCCTCCTGGGCCTCATTCAGTGCTCTGCAATCGACACACCAGGGGACCCACTGCTTTCTGAGTTGAACTCCCCTGCCTTTTCTCTCCTTTGGTCTGGCAGGGGTGGGGGCAGATAGGTGAGTTAATTCCAAGAGCCTTCATTCCCTCCAGCCTTTGGCGTGATTGAGGTTACTGTTGGGCCCCCCCACATCTTCATTTTCCAGCCTCCTCACGTGGCGCATCCTTTGAAGCCCGCTTTCATTTTTCATCAGCGGAGAAGGTAGGGGAGGTGGCCAGGTCTCAGTGTATTAAGTGGTTGGAAGAGAAAAGGCTTGTGCCCACAGGCAGCCATGCGTGAGTGGTCAGTCCTGAGTGGTTTAGACTGAAATAGGGCAGGCAAAGCAAAGCTCTGGGGCCTTTGTCCAATCTTCCCTTTAGTCCCCAGGCTCCGTGCCAGGCTCTGTGCCCAGCCACCTATGGTACAAGTTGCCTTCTCCCCAGGGACCCCAGTCTCGGAACGGTGTGTCCCCCCCACCCCCAAGACACACGAGATTATAAGCCTCTTGCATTGAGGGAGGTTTTCAATAAAGAGGAAAATGCTGTAATTAAAAAAGCTTGATTATAAAGAAGAAATGGAGAGGCCTGGCACAGAAGAACATTCTTTGACCTGCTCAGCCAGGAGTGGGCACATTCAGCCAGTAGGCTGTTAGGCCTTGGGGACCCTGGAGTGTGCAGGTTCAGACCTCGAAAGGATAACAGATGAAAGGTCGCAGCTGCAACTCCTCACACCACCACTGCCGCCATCAGCCCCTCCCCAGCTCAGGTGTGGCACCGTTGTCTCCTGCGGTGTGGTGCTATCAGCAGTGACTTTCCAGCCAGCATTGGGACCCCCCTGGTCTCGGTTGCACGGTGGAGGGACAGAGGGCTCTCTGGGGCGCAGCAGGATAGTGATGAACATTGAATCAAGGCTCCCCCTAGCCCGGTGTGCAGACAAACGACTGTGTTTGCCTCCTGAGATGTGTGAGCCCAGCTCTGCTGTGGACAAGTCAGCCCCATGCATTCTGCCTGGAAGATTTTTAGGCCTTGGCATTTCCCAAATAGTGTTTTATGTCACCAGGCGTCTCAGGACAGGTGCCCTGTAGAACATACTGTCTGGGGCCATCGCTATACTACAAATTCCCCTTTGCATCCTCCCTGCAAGTGCCAACCTCACTTAGCTTCATCCCTCCTCACACAACTCTGCCAGCTACCTAGCCCCGCTGCACCCTGAGAAGGCTCTGGGCTTGATGATGGGAGGGTCCCCAGGGTTTGCATGGCTCAGAGGAGCAGGGGCTCTCGAGGAGCCTGTCCTCGCCCCAGCGGTTTTTCTTCCTCGTGCGTGATAACTTCCCTTGTTCTACCAGCGTGTTAGAACATCTGTGGCCCAGCAGCGACACTGAAGCTTTTAGAAGTGCCGGAGCTCAGCCCCAGGCCCACTAAATTGGGATTTGTATCCCCGGGGCTGCCAGTGCCTGCAACCCCCATGACAGCTGGAGAGAACTAGTACCTTGTCCCTGCTTTTTTACATTTGCTGGGGGATGGGGTGAGGGTGAGGCATTTCCTGCTGTTCCTCTGTAATTCTCATCTCTCCTTGGTTGGGGTGGGGTTCTTGAACGAAAATGTGGTTTCTACCCCATCCCCCGTAGGGCTCAAGATTGTCCAGAACCTGATGCAGGGGCTGCCGAAGGACCTAGATTTTAGAATGCAGTTCTGTGGCTCAAAAGAAAAAAAAAGCTTAGAGGACCCTCCTTAGTGGCCTAGGGTTTAATCTCAGTGCTGCCATGGCGAAGGCCCACGGCAACGGCCTGAGTTTGATCCCCAGCCAAGGAGCTGCCCCCCTGCCACAGCAGACCTCTCCTGCTCTCCCGCTGCCCCCCTCAGCAGTGTATTTCAGTGGATCTACCCGTTCTGCTCCCCACTCTGTCTCTGGTGAATCCTCTCACCTCCCATACCTCTGGTCTGCTATGAGGTAGCAGTTCTTCTATGCATAAATAATAAATCTTAAAAAAATGAAAGTATAGGGCCTCCCTGGTGGCGCCAGGGGTTCAGCACCACACTATGAAGCAATCCGCAGCCTATCCCCGGCCAGGCCAGAGAGCAACCCACATGGCGAAGCAGATCTCTCCTGTGTGCCCACTGCTCCCCTCAGCAGTGTGTTTCAGTCAGTCTGCCTGTTCTGTTCCCTGCTCTGTCTCTGGTGAATCCTCCCCTATCTCTGGCCTGTACCCCAGCTCTTGTATGCATAAGTAATCTTAAAAAAAAATAAAAGTACACACACACACACAAACGGGGGGAGGAGGGGCTTGTTAAGCACACAGCAGGTGCTCAGTAAATATGTTGGATACAACACTTGCGTCTCCCCTAAGCCCTGTGAGGCGGGTCTGCTGGACTCCCCGACCTGACCGCTAGTTGTGAGTGGTTGAGGTGGAGGTTTCTCTACGGGGCTGTGGCCTGATTCCCCTTGTTAGAACACGAGGATGGGCTCCAGAGCTCTCGGCCCTCCTCTGACATCAAGTTCTGACTCCACTAGCTCTGTGCCCACCAAGCACATACCCACTGCCCCCAGCCCGACCCCCCAGATCTGGCCTGTGTGGACCCTGCTTGATTTCTCCGTCATGGAGGGCGCCCCTTGGACAGCGCTCGGTGGAGAACACGAAGATGCGACACGACAGGGGTCAGTGGGGTGGGGACGGCGGCCGCTCAAATGTGGCGGCCGCTGCTGCCGCTCGTGACCTTGGAGGAGTCTCTTCCCCGCTCCGGGCGCAGGGGTCGGACGAAGGGGACCGCTGCGGCCCCTCCCCGCCTGGCTTTTCAACTTTCTCGTCCTGACCCCAACTTCCTCCGGCCGTCGCCCCTCAACTCCACGAGCGCGTGACCGGGGCTCGCGCGCCCCCGACCCCGCGCTGCCCGGCGCGGCTCCAGGAGGGGCGGGTCGCCCGGGGAGGGTCGCCGCGGGCCTCGGGGGACGCGGCGCGGGGCGGCGTCCTCGGGCTCAGCCGCGCGCCCGTTCCTTCCCCGCGGGCGGGCAGGGGGGCCCCGGGGGCCGGGGGCGCAAGCCCCACCTTCCCACGCGGGCCTGAGCCGCTGGGGCGGGCGCGTCCCCTCCCGGGCCCAGGACAGCCCGGCCGCGCCGGCCCGCGGGCGCTCAGTCTCCGCACCTGTGAAATGGGGGTGCGGGCGGCCGCGGGGCCGTCTCGGGGGCGCGGCGGGGGCCTCCGCGGCGCGCGCCGGCGCCGGGCTCCGCAGTGAGGGGGGCGGCGGGGCGCCGCGCGCGGTCACGTGACGCCCCCTCCCCGAACTGCGGCGGCGGCTGCGAGCGCCGAGCGCGTCCGGGCAGAGCTGCAGCGGCGGCCGCGGGCTCCGGAGCCCGAGCCCAGCACGCCCCGGCCGGGCCGCGGTGAGTCGCCCCGCCCGGGGTGCGGCCCCGCGGGGAAGGGACGCGGCGCCCCGGCCCCCCTCGGCGCCCCTCGGCCGCCAGCCGCGACGCCCGCGGGGCGCGGGGCGCGGGGCGCGGGGCGCAGGGCCGGGCCGGCGGGGGGACGCGCGCGCGGGAGGGGCCGCGGGGCCGGCGCGGGCGAGGGGCAGCCCCGGGCTGAGCTGGCGGGGACCCCCGCCCGTGGGGGGCGCCCGGGCCGCGGCCGAAGGGCTCGGGTCCCACCCCCCGCGTGGGTGGGGAGTCGTGTTTTCCGCGCGCCCCGAGGAGGGGGCGCCTGGGGCTCCGTGGAGGGCGGCGGAGAAGTGGGCGCGTTCCTGCTCCCGAGGGCCCGCGGCGGGAGGAGGCGCCCTGAGCCCCGAGGCGACGGCGTCCTTGCTCCCCCGGGACACGCGCCTCCGCGCCCGGCTCCCCGACCCGCCGCCCAGCGGGGCGCGCGCGTCACCCGCTCGGGCGCCCCCTGGTCGCCTCTCCCGGCCCCGCAGCCTCTGAGGGCTCGGTGGGAATCCACAGGGCGGTCCCGTGCCCGCGGTGTGGAGGTGCCCACCCTCCGGGCGCGGGCTGGGGAAAGGGGCCCCGTGCGCGCACGCCGGCCGGGGAGGGGAGCACCCCCCTCCACAGACCCCACCTGTGCGGGACCCAGAGTCCCTCCTGGGGGCACATGGGGAGACACCCCCCCTCACACATGGCACGTTGGCATCCGCCCGCCAGCGTCCTTCCCCTCCCTGCCAAAGTCCTGGGCCTGAGAGAAGCTAGGTCAGGACTGAAGCAGACGAGAAGGGCAGAAGGGAAATCCCTCCCCCAGGGCAGCGCCACTCGCCACCCGGCCCCAGGGCAGCCTCCCTTCTTCCTGAGAGCCCCGGCTTTCAGGAACAAGCTCGCGGGCCCTCCTAGCTGGTGAGAGGGACCAGCGGGCAATGGTACCCATGGGTTGTCTGGGCCTGGCAGGGGGCCTGAGGGCAGCAGTAACTGAAGGAGGTGATGGTCTTGCAGAGCCGGGCTGGGGTTCCCCCCATTCCTCTGTCCAGGACCTCAGCCTGGCTCTGAGCCCCCCTAGCAACGGAGAGTCTGGCAAAAGGATGAGGTGCCTTGGTGGTGGGAAGGATTCCAGGGCGATGATGAATCCTCAGGTGGGGCCAGTGCCTTCCATCCACAGCACCGCTTCAGGGTGGGGGCAGGGTCCGCACCGCACAGATGAAGAAACGGAGTCTCTGAGAGGCTGAGCTCCCCAAAGCCCCACAATCTGAGTCCTCAGCCAGCGCCACAGTGGGGTCAGTGGTGGGGTCAGAGAGGTCCACAGGCGGCCTCCCTCCCCCGGAGGGCATCGGGACGAAAGCATGAAACTGGGTCATGTTGAGGAAAGCACTTCCCCTTTCTCAGGGCCCAGGACTCAGACCCTCTGCCCTTCCTAGATCTACACTCGCTGCCGCTGCTTCACGTGGCCATGGCGGTTCCCAGCCTTGTCCCTGCCCAGCTCACAGCCTTCCTTGGGCAAAGCCTCTCCCTTCACCCCTGGATGCCTGCCTGGCCGGTGCCCGTGCTCCACCCTGAGACAAGGATTCTTCCTGCAGCCTCTTGAAACGCAGAGGTGGTCCTCTTTGGCCCTGGGGTCTCTGCTGTTCAGGCCTCAGTGTCTCTGGGATTAGGGAGCCCGGAGACCCTGTTCTCCAGCCCCCTCCCAGCCTGTCCTGGTCCACAGCCCAGAGGCCCTGTGAGGACTCCGGGGGCAGGACTGTCTTCCACACTACCTGTCTGCAGAGGCCTTTTGTCCTGGCTGTCACAGGCTGCGCAAACAACAGAGCCGCGCACAGCCAGACGCAGACACAAACACGGCTCGACTCACAAGTACCCTGAGACCCAGACGCAAGAACACACAGGCGCCCCGGGCGGAGACCCCCGCCCTCGACTCCCACCCACTCCACCAGCACCGAGAGACACGCCATTCAGATGTCGTGTCCACACAGAGACGGGGGTTGTTGTCAGCAAGGGGAGCCTCCACCGGAGCCTCATCGCCTGTCATCTGCTTCCGCTGTCTCCTCCAGGGGCATTCACGGGGCCTCCACACCCAAGGAAGCCCCACGCCTAGAGCAGGAAGCGGCAGACACACACACCCCCGGCCCAGGCCCAGGGTACCCACTCACGTGCACCACATCAGCTTCATTCCAGAAGGGTGAGGGGGCCCTCTGGCCACCCCCCAGCACAGCGTCACCTTCTCTCTTCAACTTCATGTGAACCCAGCTTGGCTGGCCCCACAAATACTGGGAAACTGATGTTTCCCCTTAACGGACCATTCTTTCCTGCCACTGCCCTCCCCCCACACACTCCCTCTCTCACCCCTACACACACACACACCTGCCAGGTTGCCAGAGGAACCTCCCTGGGCTGTCTCTGCTGCCCCTGAAGGTGTCACTACACAGGCCACTCCTAAGACAGGACCCTCCCCCCATACCAGGTGCCAAGGATCCCTGAGGTTCCCTTCCCTTTGCCAGGAGGCCTTGCCAAGTCCCAGGTTCTTCTTTACCTCCCAGCAAGGCTGGGGGCCTGCTGGTGTGAAGGGAGGGGAACCCTCCCTCTGCTGGGCTGGGTTGTGGCAGCCCTGTCTGTGCTTCTGAGGGGCCAGTATTGCTGGGAAGCAGCTGCCTCCGGTGGGTGCCGATGAAGTTCTCCAGGGCAGACTAGTGCCAGGTGGGACCCTGTGGGCTTTGCCTTTCTCCCCTGGCCACTCACCCAGGGCTTGCCAGAATGCTTGTTCTGAATCCAAGCCTGGCCCTCCTGCTGCTGGCTGTGTGACCCCGGGCAATCCGCTTTCCCTCCCTGGGCCCATCTCCAAGTCTGGAAGACAGTTCAGCCTGGCCAGGGAGTGTGAGGTGTGAGGTGGCATCCCTGTGCCAATGAGGAGAGGAAGTTTGGCTGTGCTGGGCAGCCTGGCACAAGAAGGGGCCCTTGGCTAAAGGCCCCTTGTGGATTGGAAACTCTAGGTTTATGCTAGTCAAGCAGGGGTTGCTATCCAGAGCCAGAGAGGGGGACCTGAGGATGGGGGCTACACATGTAGTTTGCATCTGTTGGTATGTTTGTGGTCCCCAAAAGCTCTGGCTAATCTTAGGATTAAAGAGTAGCATTTGCAGGCAAAGAGGCAGAAGGGAGAAGAGGCAGAAGGGCGTGAAGGGTGTGGATGGGGAGACACCCCACTGGGATACCGGCCTTTGCCCTGGAAGGAAGGAGCCAAACCTGTGTGCTCCTGCCATGGGCTGGCTCCCTTGCTAATCACTGAGCGTGTCATGTGTCCCAGAGGCTGTGACAGGTGCAGGGCTGGGTGGCATCCTCCGGGCCAACCTGGTGTGGTAAGTGTTACGGTGAGAAGTTGAGGCTCAAAGAGGTGTCACGTTGCCTACTCCATTAGTAAATGCCAATGCGGGGTCCCTCTCCCTTTGCGTCCCCACTTTTGGAAGAAGATCTGAGTTCAGATTCTGATTATGCCACGAGCTGTGCAAGGTAGGGCAAAGCACCCCATTTCTATGAGCTGTCTCGTCATCTGTAAAGTGGGGGTCGCCCACTTTACATACCTGATGGGGTTGTTTCAAGGGTGCAGAAGACTGAATGCAGGCAAGTTCCCGGGATGGCACCGTGTTCACCCTGGGTGTTTACTGGGGACTAAGCGGAGTCTTGTTCGGTCTCTGCTGTGTGACTTTGGGCAAGTCACTTGCTCTCTCTGTGCCTCATTTCCTTCATAAAAGGGGAACAACAAGTTCTAGTTTGCCTGCCCACCTGGGAGTGTTGTTTGTGCAGATCAGACACGATGGCTGAGAGCTGCTTTTAAAAAAACCAAATATGAATGCGCAGAAGACATAACAAACACCAGAAAAAAATGGAGAATTTTTTTTTAACTTCAGATTTTATCACAAGGGAAAAAAGCCTTGTCTTCAGTGGTTTGGGGGAGTAGGAATGTTTCCACGGCTTCAGGTTTCCAAGGCAGTTGGTGTGGCTGTCCTCTGGCGAGATGGCTGCTGCCCCGCTTGGGAGACCGTGCCTGGCACGCCGTAGGTGGTCAGCAAATGGCCATGATGGCTGCGGGTGCAGTTAGGCGTGGCAGCAGGGCTGGGGAGATTGGTGGTGTGACCGCGGCGGTGGGCAGCGGCTGGGAGGTGGTGACCAGGACACGGTTTGGCTTCAGCCAGTTGGAGTCAGTTTATTGCAGGCCTTGAATGCCAGGCTGACGAGTTCGCCTATTCCTGAAAGCCAATGGGAAACTGCTCGAGCCTTCTGCGGGCCGACCTTGGGTCCTTGGCCAGCCCACTGGCAGGAGTGAGGCGCTAGCCTGGCACAGCTCTCCACCCTCCCCTGCTCTGTCAGTCTGGCTTCACTGCCTGTTGCCTTGGCTCATTCTCCGCGTAGGGGGCGGAGGGGCTCCAGCATCTTCCACCTGGGGGCAGGCAATCAACCCAGGGAGCGAGTGGCCAAGGGGCCAGGGGGCTGTCATTGTGCGGGAAGTCGGGCCACCTTGTTCCTCCTCTGCCCCACGCTGGTAGCTGGAAGTATGCGAACCCCCCCCCGCCCCCAGCCTCCCTTCCTCTGCACAGCGGCTGCTTGCGGTTCCGCCTTTGCAGCGTCGTCGCGCGGGCCTCAGCTGCTGACCTTGCCCTGTGAGCCTCAGGCGTGTCTCTGGAGGAATCCTACTGCTTCTGGCAGCTAGTTATTCTCCAGGCTCCCCTGGGAAGTTGGGGCTCCTGGGGTGCGGCGAGGGTGACAGCGGATGAGGGCAGGTTCTTGAGCCACCAGAGAGGCCGTGCCCTTCTCAAGGCCACAGGAGCCACATCCTTGCTGCAGCCAGGCTGTCGGGGGAGTGGAGAGGCCAGGTATGTGGGTCCAGCCCTCTGCTCTGCTTCTGAATTATCCCCCAGTCTTCAGGGGGCTACCCCCGCCCCTAGCTTGGAGGGGGTAGCCTCTCCAAGGCCCCACTCCTCTGA